CCGCTCCCACACCGCAGGGCTGGGTTTACAGCAGCGGAACTCAGCAAAATGGAACCGAACCCCCTGCTGTCGGACCAGGCACCACCCGCGGCTGGACCATTCATCCCGCAAGACCCGGATGAGCTCTGGGCCGAGGCCCAACGGGCGATGCTCGATGAACAGGAGGACGACCCGTTCGGCTTCGGCGGGGGATTGGACTTCTTGGACGACGGCCCAGCCAGCGCCAACCCTGCCCCGTCGGGCAACCTCTCGACGCCCACCGCGACTCCGCCACCGAGAGCGACATCGCACCCACATGATGATGTCGCTCACCGTCAAGACGCCGACGAGGACCTTTATGATCCCCTCGGATTGAGTGGCAGCATAGACGACGCCCCGCCGACACCCCACGCTGCCGACGATGCCGCTCCATCGAGACGCCACCCGACCACGCGGCCGACCTCCGAGCCCTCGCACGGCATCATGATTGGTCCCACCGTGCCACCCACCCCGCCCCCCCACCAGCGCCAGCCCGCGGGGGCGGCTCCAGCCCCCCCGCAGGGCACCGAGCCAGTCAGGCCGTCGCACCCCGTCCACGCTTTCACTGTTGCTGGGTGCGAGGATGCGGCTCTTCCGTCCTCACGGGGCGTGGCCCTAGCGGCTCCAGCCCTGGGACCGCGCGTTGCCCTCCAGTCGCCTCTCAAGGGCGACGGCCGCCAGCACGCGGATCGCCGCGCCGCGCTGGTCCACCACCTGGCCAGGCGCACCGACGACCTCGTCCCTGCCACGAGGCCCGCGGCCGCAGGCACTGAGCAGCCGCCCCTCGCCGACCGCGAAACCGAGCTGTCCCAGTCTATGGCCGCTCTTCAGCAGAGGTGTGCTGCTCTCGCCGCCGACCTTGCCGCTGCTCAAGCCCGTCAAGGCCCTCTGCTCCAGCGCCTCCACCGCGCCGGGCGTGCCTTCGCCGAGCTGCTTACGCCCTCGCCCGATGGTGCTGCGCCGCCACTCACCCTCCAAGCTATGCTGTCATCGCTCCGCGGCGCTCCGCCTGGTGCCCCGCGCTAATCTCCTCCTTTCTGCCTGCCCGTGTGTACGCGTGGCCCCGCGTCCACGGTGTCAGGGCGTGGGGGCGGGGGGTGCCCCGTCCCTGCGCGCCGCGTTGCGGCCAAGCGCCCAACTGGCGGTCTGCCAAGCCGCCTAGCCACGTGTCAGCACGTCGCCTTTCTTGTTGGGGCCTTCTTCGTCACGCGGTCTGACGCGTGAGATCTTCACCGTCTGTCCGCCGTCTGTAGCGTCTGTCGCATTGCGCCGGGGGAGGGGGTTTGTTGCCCGCCCTCGTATCTCAAGGCTGCACCGCCGCAAATAGTGTTTGGCGAGTTGTCGCACCGCAGTGCGCCTCGCGGACGGACCCTGGTCCGCCTACTTGTCCGATCTCTCTCTCTCTCTCTTCTCTCTCTCTCTCTCTCTCTCTCTCTCTCTCTCTCTCTCTCTCTCTCTCTCTCTCTCTCTCTCTCTCTCTCTCTCTCTCTCTCTCTCTCTCTCTCTCTCTCTCTCTCCCCCTCTCTCTCTCTCTCTCTCTCTCTCTCTCTCTCTCTCTCTCTCTCTCTCTCTCTCTCTCTCTCTCTCTCTCTCTCTCTCTCTCTCTCTCTCTCTCTCTCTCTCTTCTCTCTTCTCTCTTCTCTCTCTCTCTCTCTCTCTCTCTCTCTCTCTCTCTCTCTCTCTCTCTCTTCTCTCTTCTCTCTTTCTCTCGCCTGTCTCCTCTCTCAACTCCCCCTCTCTCTCTCTCCGCTCTCTCTCTCTCTCTCTCTCCTCTCCCTCTCTCTCGCTCTCTCTCTCTCTCTCTCTTCTCTCTCTCTCTCTCTCTCTGGCGACTAGGAGGCCCGGGTCGACTCCTCTTTGGGAAGCCAAAATGCTGCCCCTGGCAGCGTTTGGTGACTATGAAGCCCCTGGTGGACCCCCCCTGGGGCTCCCAAATGATGCCCCTGGCAGCGTTTTGTGACCATGAGGCTCTCAAGAGATACATGTTGGGGACGCCAAACGGCAATTCTAGCTGAGGCGTCCCACCAAAATCGGCGCGAACGGGCTCGTGAGATCAGCCAGGGTGGCTCCCCCTTGGGGCTCCCAAATGATGCCCCTGGCAGCGTTTTGTGACCATGAGGCTCTCAAGAGATACATGTTGGGGAGGCCAAACGGCAATTCTAGCTGAGACGTCCCACCAAAATCGGCGCGAACGGGCTCGTGAGATCAGCCAGGGTGGCTCCCCCTTGGGGCTCCCAAATGATGCCCCTGGCAGCGTTTTGTGACCATGAGGCTCTCAAGAGAGACATGTTGGGGAGGCCAAACGGCAATTCTAGCTGAGACGTCCCACCAAAATCGGCGCGAACGGGCTCGTGAGATCAGCCAGGGTGGCTCCCCCTTGGGGCTCCCAAATGATGCCCCTGGCAGCGTTTTGTGACCATGAGGCTCTCAAGAGAGACATGTTGGGGAGGCCAAACGGCAATTTTAGCTGAGACGTCCCACCAAAATCGGCGCGAACGGGCTCGTGAGATCAGCCAGGGTGGCTCCCCCTTGGGGCTCCCAAATGATGCCCCTGGCAGCGTTTTGTGACCATGAGGCTCTCAAGAGAGACATGTTGGGGAGGCCAAACGGCAATTTTAGCTGAGACGTCCCACCAAAATCGGCGCGAACGGGCTCGTGATATCAGCCAGGGTGGCTCCCCCTTGGGGCTCCCAAATGATGCCCCTGGCAGCGTTTTGTGACCATGAGGCTCTCAAGAGAGACATGTTGGGGAGGCCAAACGGCAATTTTAGCTGAGACGTCCCACCAAAATCGGCGCGAACGGGCTCGTGAGATCAGCCAGGGTGGCTCCCCCTTGGGGCTCCCAAATGATGCCCCTGGCAGCGTTTTGTGATCATGAGAGAGTGTGAGTGTGAGTGAATGTGACTGTGAGTGAGTCTGAGTGAGAGCGAGTCTCATCTTATCTTATCGAGTCCTATCTTATCGAGTCCTTGTCATATATCTTATCTTACCTTATCATAGATTGTGATATCTTATCTTATCTTGTAGTATCTTATTTTGTCTTGTCTTATCTGGTGATTATCATTGGGAGGAGGGAGGCGCGAGCGGGAGGAAGGAGGAGCAGTGGGAGGCGTCAGAGTAATAACAAGAACCCCAATCCTTAGGATATGGGGAATAACAAGAACCCCAATCCTTAGGATATGGGGAATAAGAAGAGGCGCCATGAAATCTGGGGAAATATCATGGCCCCCGCCATGATATTCCCCCCCTAGTCATCACCCCCCTCTTTGCCGCCCCCGATGTTGTTGGGCATTGCACCCATTCGTTCCGTACCCATTTCTAGAGGCCTCCTAGGTGGGGTCGGAGTAGACGGGGTCGGAGGATCGCGCCGCATCGCCGATGCATCGTCGATGCATCGTCGATGCACCGTCGATGCATCGGCGATGCACCAGCGATGCATCGTCGACGTTGGCGATGCATCGGTGACGTCGACGTGACGCAAATCGGGCTGCACATCGAGCCGCATCGGCGATGCATCGGCGATGCGGCGCGATCCTCCGACCCCATCTGGGAGGCCTAGAACTTCGGTCGCCCCGAGGGCTGACAGGCCAAGACGGGGCACGGCCGGGGCCGCCCGGCGTCCTGCAACCGCCCGCTCTTCCCTCCCGCCGCTCGCTGCACTGCCCGTCCCCTCTGGGCGAGGCCCCCTCCAGGGACGAGGAGGAGGAGGGAGAGGAGGAACTGGAGAGGAGGAAGAGGAGGAGGAGGAGGAAGAGGAGGAGGAAGAGGATGATGATGAGGATGATGATGATGATGAGGAGGAGGAGGAGGAGGAGGAGGAGGAGGAGCAGGATGAGGAAGCCTCGTCGGCCACTCGTCGTCGGTTCGCTCGCCCTCGGCTTTCTCTGCTGTCGGAGACTGCTTGCACAGGCGGCGTGGCCATCTTGGCGCCACTCTTGCGGGGGCCCCCTGCTCCTCCTCCGCCTCCCCCCTCCTGCACCGTCCAGATCTCGAACTCTGCCTCACCTAAACGCGCGTGTCGTGCCTCCTCTCCCGCACCTCCTCGCAAAGCGAACAAATTCGAGGCAAACGTGGCCCGCAGCGTCGCTTCAGCGGTTTCCTCCTCCTCCTCCTCCTCCTCCTCCTCCTCCTCCTCCTCCCAGCGGTGTGCGGCGGTGCCCCGCTCGAGGCGGTTGGAAATGCGCCCTCGCCCGGCAGAGCGAGACGCGGCCATTACACACAGTCCGAGCTGAGCCCGCGCGGCGAGGAGAAAGAGAAGGGGGGCGAGAGGAGAAGTCGCAGGAGGGCACGGAGGAAGAGGGCGAAGCGGAGGAGGAGGACAGTGCGGGGAAGGCGGAAGGCGAGGAGAGAGAGAGAGAGAGAGAGACGCGAAGAGAGCGAGAGAGAGAGAGAGAGAACAATCGATAGAGAAGAGAGAGGGATATCTGATACATGGAAAAGGCGAAGAGAGAGAGAGAGAGAGCGAGAGAGAGAGAGAGATAGATCCTTTGATACACACATATACAAGCATATGTGCATACACATGTACAGATGCATCGTCAAATATATGGATTTATCAATACATATGTATATATTCATAGAGAGAGAGAGAGAGCAAACACATTATATATATATATATAGAGAGAGAGAGAGAGAGAGAGAGAGAGAGAAAGAGAGAGAGAGAGAGAGCTAGAGAGAGAGAGAGAGAGAACAAAAGAAACGAGAGAGGAAGAGAGACGCAGCGACGCAGAAGCAGACGCAGAGGCAGACGCACCGACAGGCAGACGGACGGGCAGACGCACAGGCAGGCGCACCGAGGGGCCTGGGCGAGGGAGGGCGAGCGGGCGAGCGGAGCGAGAGCGAGGGAGCGAGGAGAGGCGAGGGAGCGCGAGAGCGAGGGAGCGCGAGAGCGAGGGAGCGAGGAGAGGCGAGAGGGAACGAGCGGGGGGAGGGCGGGGCAGACGACGAGGGCGCGAGCGGCGAGCGAGGCCCCCAGCGGGGTCCTGCACAGCGGCGGCGCGCCCGCCCGCGCGTGAGCGCAGGCCAGCGCCAGGACCTGGCCACGGAGGGGCGGACCACGCGATAACCAGCCTCAAACATATCCCTATCCCTAAGATGGGCGAGCAAAAAGCGAGGACAATCTCAGGGATAGGCCCTCAAAAACTGAGGGGGTCCTTAAGATCGGCATCGAGGTGAGGTGATGTCAAACATAGGGATAGGGATATGCTTCAAGCTGGTAAGCTCGAGGACGCAGCCAGGAAGAGGAGAAAGTCGCCCCGAGAGATCCGACGCGTTGAAAAAATCAAGACGGAGGTGTTTCGCAAAGTTCGGCCCCTATAGGGGCCCTCGCCGGGTCTCGGGACCGTCGAAGAAGGACTCAGGATGAAAAACCGGTCCTCGGGAATGGGTCGAGACTTCCGGGGGCCGCGCATTGAAAAAATCACGACATCGGATCCCTGGGCGGGTGGCGATACACCGAGGAGCTCTGAGACCCCGCGGCTCTGGAGGACGTCTCGGGCGCCGCGGCCTTGTCAGAGCGCTCCGCCAGTGCTCTGAGAGCGCTCCGGAACCCCAGGCTCCCGACGTCGCGATTCTTCCAGAACGTCGACCCCCGGAGGTCTCGACCCATTCCCTGGGGCCGGCTGCTCCTCCTGAGTCGTTTGTTGACGGTCCCGAGGCTCGGCAAGAGCCCAGGGAGGCCGAAAAGAGCGAAAAGCCTGGCGTCGTGATTTTGTCGTGCCTCGAAGGGGTCTGGGTTCTCAGAGCACTCCGCAAGGCTCCGAGAGCGTTCCGGGACGCAGGCTCTGGAGCGGATCGAGGCTCGTCGTAGGTCGGGCCTGTCCTCCCATGCAGGGTGATTCTGGGCGAGAAATCCCACCAGCCCTCTGGGCGTAGGTGGTTTAGGGAATTTTCTCTTCCACCCTTCCTTCTTCCCCTTCGGGGAGGGGTTTACCCCTCCCCCTAACCCCCTCCCCTGGACCTGGACGGGGGGTTTCGCTGGTAATTGGAGCGTCCAAAACGGCCTCGGCGAGGAAACCCAAATCATCGGTTTTACAATGGTTTTGGCCCCATTTTGGCCTCTTGGGGGGGCAGTGCTAATTGACTCCACCCTCTTCTTTGATCGATCTCCTCCAAGATGGCCCCAAGAGGCGCCTAAGAGGCCCCAAGAGGCGCCAAGATGGCCCCAAGATGGCCCCATGATGGCCCCAAGAGGCCCCCAAGAGGCCCCCAAGAGGGCCCAAGAGGCTCCCAGGATGGTTCCAAGAGGCCTCCAAGAGGCTCCAAGAGGCCGCCATGAAGCTCCAAGAGACCCCCAAGAGGTCTCCAACAGGCCCCCAAGAGCCCCCCAAGAGGATCCCAAGCGGCCTCAAGAGGCCCCCCCGAAGCACCCAAGACGTCCAAGAGCCCCCATTGACCGCCAAGAGACCCCCAAGACGCCCGAAGAGGCTTCCAAAAGGCTTCCGCCAAGAGGCATGCGAGCGGCATTCAACCATCCACCCAGCGTCATCTTTCTCCTCATCCCTCCTTCGCTCGGTTCCTCGCCACCCCCTCATCTATCCATCTGGCCTCCTCTTCCGCCTCATCCTTTGCGCGGATCGGCTGTCCCTCTCGTTGCTCCCCCACTTCCCTGATCTCTTCAACTTGCCTGGACATCGTTTCTGGATGGGCTGGTGGGGATACTTCTTCTTTTTTTACAGCCGCAGGCGGAAACGCCAGCGGCAGGCGGTCACGGTCGGGCTGCGGCCGCGACTAGGGGGGCGGGCGCGCGCGAAGCCGCGGTCAGGCGGCAGGCAGCAGCGACCCAGGGCGACTGAGCCAAGGCGTGCATATCCAGGGAGTCTGCAGGGCAGCCCCTGAAAGGAACATGCAACGGCGCATCCAGGGAGTCTGAACAGGCACCGAGGAAGCCGAGCGCAGCCAAAATGGCGCGCAAGGCGTGCCCAACAGTTCGAGTAAGAACGGGTGGGGAACGGTCCCGAGCGGGACGTCAATCCAGGGAGTCTGACGGGTAGGCACAGACTGCCTGGTGACACAGTCCAGCGGGGAGGCCCTGACGGCGGCAGCGGACAATCGCGACGTCAGAACACGCACCCAGAGAGTGGAACACAGTAGCCAGGGAAAGAACCTTTCACAACTGAGATGCGCCTGAGCCCTTGACCAGCGACTGGTAAGAGCAAAGCAACGTGCACAAAGCCACACGGTAGAAACACGTGGTAGCTGGGAGTGCACCACCAAAGTGACTCAGCGCCACACATACGCGTGTAGGGTAGCACATGAGGGACGGGACCGTCGCATACCCAAAACGCGCCCCTCAGAGTCGCTTCGTTCCAGGGGCACGGCTGAAGGCCGTTGAAAGGTGAGAAATCCAGGGAGTGACGAATCTATGAACAGGCGAAACCGCCAGAGCCCACAGTCGCGCGCCAGGCCGCGCCTGGCGGGTGAAAACATCTACACTAAGGCCGGTGGCCACAGGTCCACCTGGGACAGTGAATGCCGAGTGGACAGCATTACCGACACGCACACCCGAATCGAAAAGCAGGAGGTGCGCGCGTCAGGGGGAGGGCGGCGGAACGCCGCAAGCGAGCGGGGCCCGCGGCGCGTCTCAAGGCTGCGCCAGGGGGACGTCCAGGGTGTGAAACACAGCAAGAGTGGACAACGTGAACCCTACGGCTAGGATTCAGCGGCCACTGGTAAGAGCAAGCGCAGCGGGGCCAGGGGCCAGCTAGGGTCTGCGAGCTGCGCACTGTCACGCAGTGGTGCACATAGTATTACTGTGCGGCACACCATGGTCCAAAGGTAGGAGGAGTGCCGCCCAGGGGGGGGGGGCAGTCGGGCTGCCCCGCGGTTGGAGAGTAAGAAAGCGGCTGAAGGCCGCACGCAGTGTGTAGTGAGGTTGTCGCGGTGGCGCATAGGCGCTGGGAGTGGGGAGTGAGCTCAGTCCCTCCATCGGAGCCTCTTTTCGTCTCTATCGTCTCGATCGTCGGGGCGGCCTCCACCGCGTTTGCCGCCCGTCTGCCAGCGATCTTCGCGCCATCCATCACTCCACTCGCCCTGCCAGCTGCCCCAGGTGTCCCATGAGCTTGTCGCGCGGTCTCGCCAGCTAGTCTGCTGGTGGCTGCCTTTGCCCCTGCCGTCGGCACGGGAGTGTCGCAGGCAGTCGGCTCGTAGCCTGTCCCAGTCAATGCCGTAGCCAAGCCTCGTGTTCATCAGGTAGGCGTCGCACCCGCAGCCCTTCCAGTCATCGTGAAACTTATTGATGGACGTGGCCGCGTGCAGTTTCGGGTCGGATTTGGGCGCCCTGGATCCAGGGGGCCAAGTTCGCTGCGCGTGCGCGGTCCAAAGCGCGCAGAAGACTGCGCCCAACTCCGACTGGTGTCTGGCTATGCGTCTGGCGGGTGTCTCGTTGGGACGCTCCAGGTCCACCGTGCCCAGCCAGACTTTGTGCATGGGGCCACCCCCCTCCGGACAGGTCAACAGGTTGAGTGCATCCTGCTCCGCCGCGCCTGCATGGCGAGGGTGATAGGGCCTCTGTCCAGGGAGCTGTGGGGTGGGCGCGGGGGAGCGCTCGGTCCGCGCGCCGCCTCGGTCGCGGGCGCTCTCGTCCACCGCGGGTCCCCAGGCTGGATCTCTACTGTGGTCGGCGTTGGGCGCGTCGTCCCCGGCCGAAGTCGGGACCTGCTCGCGGCTGGAGTCAGAGCTGTCCGCCGATGGGCTTTGCTGAGGCGCCTTGTCGCCTGGGCAGTTATCATCGTCCTCCGAGGCCGAGTCCGAGCAAGTAAAAAGGAGGAGGGGGCCCGCCCTCTCCGAAGTCGGGAGACTCCACCTTTGTGGGGGGGTCCCGTCTTCCAAGCTCTCGTCCTTGCCGGTGTGGTCGGGCGGGTCCTGGTGGCCCATGCGGGAGTCGTTGTCCCTCGTGCACTGGGACTTGTCTGTGTCGGCAGCCGTGGGAGTGTCTGGTCTGTCATCGCTCATGATCAGCACGCCTGGTGGGGGTGACTCAGCCAGGGAGGTGATGGATGCGGAGGCGAGGGCATCGGCGCTGAGGCTGAGTAGGAAACTCGTCAGCGTGCCCATCTCATGTCGGATGGGAACGAGGCCGCTTGTCGGGGCCAGAGTCGCCGCATAATTCCTCCAGGACTCCTTATGTCTCTCGCCGTTGGTCAGGTGTGCTACGACTCGCGCCGCGGCCACGCGCTTGCCCTCCCAACGCTGGTTGGGTGGGAGACAGTTGTCCGGGATGTAGTCGCCGTATGCCGCCCTGGGGAACTCTGAAAAAATTCGTCTGGCAAGGAGGCCTCGTCGTACCTGGGCTCTGGGGCGCTTCTGTCGCGATTGGCGAAACAAAACTGCCTCCAGGTGTAGTCCAACCCAGGATGGAAGTCGCGGAGGAAGGTTACCAGCGATCGCTGCGCGGACAATCCACCGATGCCAGGTCTGCTGGGGTCCTCATCGCATAGGGTGGGAATATAGACGCTCCTGTTGCTCAGGAGTGGGCCCTGTGGTACTGGCAAGTCTGGCAAGAGCTCCAAAAGCTGCGCGAGAGACCTAGGAGTTTGCTCTGACGCTGCACCAGTAATGCCCGCGGCGCTGGATCCAGGGGGATTGCTTACTCCGACCTTGGTGAATCGATCCTGGACCTTGGCGTCCACGCCTAGCCATGGGAGAGAATCGGAAATGTCCACAGACGCCTCGACTCCTATCTGGCTGCTGAGCGAAGGAAGGACTGGAGGCTTGGCTGGGTACAGAGCTCTGAAGTCACGATCCAGGGTGTGATCCAGGGTGGCCGGGCCTATGTTCCATATCGGGACCAGGCAGCGTCGGCAGCACCATGTAGCGTTTCATTTGCGCTCCCACCAGGCCATGGCTCGCTTGTCGATGGGAGGCAGTCCAGCTTGCTCGGGAACACATATGCCTTCCGCCGGCTTCCATATGAAACATCCCAGGGGCGGGGAGCCTGTCCCAGACGAGGAGCGGAGCCCCCTGGGGGCATGTGTCGCACCGCGCGGAGTAGATCTGGGTCTGCGCGGCTTTGAGGCCGAAGCGCTCGTCCCGGAT